GGAGGCTTTAGGCTTTAATTCTTAATTTTTTATATTTATTCTTATTTTTCAATCATATAGTAATCATATAGTAACACGTGTGATGAGACTCGAATATACATCCCTTGGGTTGAAATTCAATGGCCAAACCATTGGACTAGATTCACTTCATGGATTGTATATGAAACATTTAGTATATAACACATTTCAAAGAATGACAGAAAACTGGAAAGTAAAAACTAACTTTAGTTTTAACTTAACTAATAAATTTATATTTTTTAAAAATAATTCAATATATATATATATTAACCCATTTTAAGTTTTTTATAAAATAATTTCATATATTTTTTAATAAAAATAAATTGCGTTAAAATATATAAAATTATTAATAAAAAATTAAAATTGTCATTTAAGTTAAACAATAATTTAATGATTATATATAAAAAATTGTTTTTAAATTTATCAAAAAAATATAAATTTTTAAATAATTTTGAGTTAAAAATATATATGATATTATTAATAAAATTTTAAAATTATTACTTAAGTTAAAAAGGTTTAATTCGATGAATATATATATAAATTATTGTTAATTGTATTAAATAATTTAATGTTTTAAATAATTATATATTTTATGTTTATTTTAATTATATTTAATATTAGTTTTATTCTTATATGATTTTAAAATATATTTTTAGTTGTGACATTAACACATTATAATAATTTATTTAGACAAAAAAATAAATTAAATATAGTTGAAATAAAAAAATTATGTCAAATTTATTTAGTTAAAATATTTTATGAAAATAACAAATTATGACAAATTTAAATAGTTATAATAACAAATTATAATAAATATTAATTTCTCAATATAAAAAGATATGACAAATAATATTTTTCACAGTAATCAATTATAACAAATTTATTTAGTCACAATAACATATTAAACTTAGTCAAAATAAAAATTTATGTTAAATTTATTTCGTCACAAAATTTTCTCAAAATAACAACTTTTGAAAAATTTATTTAGTCATTATAACAATTTACAACAAATATTAATTTCTCATTATAAATATTTTTGACAAATAATATTCTTTCACAATAACAAATTATAACAAAATTATTTAGTCACAGTAAAAAAGTTATAAAAAATATTTAGTGTCGAAATAAAAGTAGTGAAAAAATAAATTTTGTTGTAATATATCTTTTTGTCACGAAAACATTTTTTATTTGATGTTATAATTTAACTTAATTGTGACGAAATTTACTTTTTATGATAAAATAATTATTTTATTTTAACAAATATTTTGTGTCTGTAAGTTACATTAAGTGACGAAATAGCAACTACGACAAAATAATTTTTGTTGCCTTATGTATTTTCGTTACAAAAATCCTTTATATTTGATGTTTAAATATAAATTAGTTATGACAAAATGGTTAATTGATTGTGACAAATATTTTATTGCTATAAGTTAATTATAGTAACGAAATTTCATTATTACAATAAATACTATATTATGGTAACGAACACAATTTTGTCACAATATACTTTACATGACAACTGACAAGGTTGTTCTAACAAACATAGTAACAAATAAAATTGGTCATAATAAATATATCGTGACAAATTTAGTATTTTTAGTGATAAATAATTTTGTTGAAATAATCTAAATTTCTTGTAGTGATTTTCCTTCCCTTTTCTTCTTCTTTCGTGATGTCCTTCATTAGCCAAGCTTCAAGGGGGTAGCAAACTAGGCCTTTGAGAGAAGCTAGCTTGCTGAGGTGGTTCACGATGGTCCAAAGAATCTCACAGTAACTCATGTGTTTGGGAATTTCATCTTACCTTTGTGCTTTCATTTCATTTCTTTTATGGGTTTGTAATGAAACAATTTGTTATTTTTGATGATTTGTACCCACCATGAATAAAACCTTATTTGTTGTGGGTTTTCTTTGGATGATTAAGTGTTTGTGGGAATGAATGGCTTATATTTTTATGTTATATATTTGATGTGTTCGTTGTAGTTACTTACTTAGGATTAGAAGATCTTACGAGAGTAGTCATTTTCTAAGTTTGATTCCTAATATTCGAGATAGTTAATGAGATCAACGTGAGCAATGGGGCCTAGCTGATAATGAAGCCTTAATCCACCTTACAGATAAGGAGAAAATTTCAACGGCTACAAGGAGTAGTACTTAGTCGATAGGATTTTATCGCAGTTCACTCTAAGAGGTATTGTCATGGCATTTCACTTTCAGGTCCCTTACTAGAGATAGCCTATAAACACTTTTAGCAAAATCTATCGAGCAGTATATACATGAGAAGCTTGAACCATCCTAGAAGATAAGGCTTAGGATTCTTTAGTAACCCTACCAATTAACCCCATTATAGCTTGATTGTGTGAGGTTGTCAGGTTATCTTATTTATTACCAGATTCTCAATTTAATTTGCCTTAGCATTCTTGACTTGTTACTCTATTTTTTGCCACAACATTTCACACTCTATACTTTCCACATTACCATAGCATTCAACCTTCACACATTCCATTTTGCCACAACATTGCATCAATTGTTAATACCACTATATATCTATACATAGTTAATCATAATTAAGTGCAAAAGCTAACTTAAAATTCATCCAATCCATGTGGAAATGATATTCACTCACTACTATATTATTTGTTTGATTGTGTATACTTGCATATCTTTGCGGGCCATATTATAGTACACTCTCACACACGCAACACTCACTTTGTGACAGATGAAGAATCTAAGATATTGGATATTCCTCTTTTAGGTTTTGATTGAGTAGATCATTTAGTTTGGAGTGGGTATAAATTACTGCATTATAGTGTCATGAGTGGGTATATGCTTTTGTTACCGTCGACTGAGCATGTAGATGCACAGTTTTATCAAAGACTATGGGCAAGCGAGCGTCAATGAAAAATTAAGTTGCAAAGTTAGAGGTTTGTTAATAATTTTGTGCCCATTAGACATATTATGTTTTTTAAACGTTTAACACTTAACCCTTATTGTCCTATTTGCCAATCCCATAAGGAATCTGTGATCCATATAGTATGTTCTTGTGATTTTTCGATTACAGTCTGGACAACGTTACAAGTTCAGTTGCCAAGTTATGATCAACACCAGTCTTTCTATAAGTGGTTGAGAAGGATGTTTAAAACTCATTTAGCTACTAAGCATGGTGAAATATTAGTGACAATATGAGCTATTTGGTACGTACGGAACAAATTTTATCACGAGGGCAAACCTATTAATTCAAATGAAATTGTTATTTTCATAACGGCCCAATGTAAGGAGTTTAGAATAGCTCACCTATAGGTTCGCACCCCATCTCTAGTTGCTATTGTCCAATGGCTCCCCCTAGTGGATCCAATGATCAAAGTAAACTTTGATACCCATTACATGCAATCAGAAAATGCCTCTTGGGGAGATATGAAACCCTCTGAAGCCTCCAACGCCAACCCCAGACTTCCTTAAAAAACAACGGTGAATAGATGAAGACCCGCCCGATCCTTCCACCATGGCAAGAGATGGTTCCACTTCTCTGATGGAGTGCGACGGCTCCTTACCTGCTGTCTCTTACAAGGATGTTGTGATGAAATCCACTGCTGCTCAACCAGATTTTAAAACCATTGATCTAGAAGATTATGATATTGAACTACTCGAAGAAGATATCACCCTTGGCTCCTCTAATGGCATTCCAACCATCGATTTTTCAGAACGTGCTCAATCTCTTACCGTAAAAAGCATAGATTTAACGCTTGTAGTTAAAGTTCTTGGACAAAGAGTGGGTTATAATACCCTGCACAATCGCATATACGGTATCTGGAAACCTTCTTACCCTCTCAAACTTATTGATATTGAGAACAATTATTTTCTTGTGAAGTTCAGTGATCATGGTGACTACCTAAAGGTGCTCACGGAAGGACATTGGACTATTTTCGGGCATTATCTAACAGTTGAGCCATGGTCTATTGACTTTCAGTCGAGCCAGAACTATCCTAGCCGCCTCATGGCATGGATTCGATTACCGGGTCTTCCAGTAACCCTTTACAAAAGAAGTTTCATTGAAGCTATTGGAAACCAGGTTAGCTCAGTGATAAAGATTGATTTTCAAAACGAATAATGGTTGCAGGGGTCGTTTTTCACGCCTAACTGTTAGCCTTAATCTTCATCAGCCTTTGGTATCGAAAATACTCATCAATGGTCGCCTCCAAATTATAGAGTATGAATCGCTTCCCAATATTTGCTTCCATTGTGGCATCTATGGTCACCATAAAGACATTTGTCCGCAACTACCAACATAGGGAGATGTTCAACCAATAACCGAGATTCCTCCACCGCAGCCTCAGACTACTGAAAACTTAGTTTCATATGAAGCTTTCAGGCCATGGATGCTCGTGGAAAGGAAAAAGCGTAATTCCAGGAATTTTAATTCTGCAAAACAATCAGTTCATGATTCCAGCCCCATCATAGCAAAATCAAATCCCGTTTTTGAAGCTGTCCGTAATAATCTAAAAATTGATCAAAATCTAGAGTGATTGAAGTGGAATCCACAATGCCATCATTAGCATCGAATTCAAATCCCAAAATTAGCTCGTTGACTGAACCAAAGAGTATTCTTCATAATAAACACAAAGCAAAGGATAAGGCTCCAGCAAATTCAAATAAAGCCCCAGTTGTCCCCTACGCTCCCAAGAAGCAAACTTACCTCGGAGGTAAACCCGTCAAACTACATGCATTAAATAAAAACCCTATACAAGGAACACATAAAGCAGCTAATAGAGCTTCCTCCTCCAATTTGCCACGATTAAGCTCGGCTGAGAATCTCGACCCTAACAAGCATCATGTCGTGAAGCTAATAGATGGAGACAATCCCCGCATCCCAACTGAAGCTTTAGTTCCTCCTGCAATTAGAAAAGGCCCCGAGGCCATGATAGAATAGTCGGCTCTTTTTCCTTCTCTCTTCATTTTTTACTTTACTTATGTATCTCAATATATTTATGTGGAATGCACAAGGATGTGGCCACTGGAATTTTAATCGCGTTGCTCGACAATATTTAGATCATTCACCGGATATTGTAGGCTTCGTTGAAACCCGTATAAGCAGTCATGCGGCTGATAAAGCTATTGCTCAACTCAAAATTCTGAACTCTTTTAGAGTAGAAGCTGATGGTTTTTCTGAAGGCATTTGGATCTGTTGGTATGATCACATTCAAGTAGATGTTCTATTCAGTCATTTTCAATTTGTCCACTGCTGGATCCACTGTAAGTCTAACAATCGTTCCGTTCTTGCTACCATTGTTTATGCTAGTCCGAATCCTACTAAAAGGAGAGCTCTTTGGAAGTACCTTCACTTGCTCTCCAATCATATTAACGAGCCTTGGATTGTCTTAGGCGATTTCAATGCCGCATTGTCTCCTAATGATCGTAAAGGCTGTGATCCATCTTCAGACCACGACTTTAGTAATGTTGTTTTTTATTCAAGTCTTTATGATCTTAGATATCAAGGACCAGACTTTACTTGGTATAGAGGTCCTGGTGCAGTTCACCTCGACCGATGTTTATGCAATGATAAATGGCTGGTCGCATATCCTGACACATTGGTTTACCATCTCCTTAGAATGAAGTCTGACCATAGACATCTCTTATTATCTATTGGTAAAAACCCCAATAAGCGACAGCAAGGTCAATTCTATTACTTTTCCAGATGAACCCTCCACAATGATTTCCGTAAGCTTGTACTTGATAATTGGGACCATTCACTCCCAATTACTCATTCAATCTCCAAGTTCAGTAATGCTGCAAAAATATGGAATCACTATACTTTTGGACAACTTTCTCATCGCAAACGCACTGTTATGGGGTGACTTAGGGGTATTCAACGATATCTTGATAAAAATCATAGTACTTATCGCTCGAGACTTGAGACTAAACTTCAAGCGGACCTTGAATTAATCCTTGATCAGGAAGAGCTCTTATGGAAACAAAAATCTCACTCGGATTGGATACATTTGGTGACAGGAACACAACTTACTTTCATAAAAAACTATTATAAACAGGAGGACTAATAGGATCTATGCTCTTCATATTTCCACCGGAGATTGGTGCTCAGACATAAATGTTCTTCGGCAAGAAGCCAGTTCATACTACCAGAATTTGTTTTCGATTCGTGAGGAGGTACACGGCACCTATCCCATCTCGGGTTTTTTTCACCTCTACCTCCTGAATTCATACAAAATTTAGACATTCTGCCAAATCCCATGGAAATAAAGGAGGTGTTATTCGATATGGCTCCACTCGACTCTCCAGGAGCAGATGGATTGCAAGCACATTTCTATCAACAACATTGGGACATTGTTGGCACGTCATTTTTCTCGACGATCCAAAACATATTCAGTGGTAATAATATTGATCCTCTGCTGAACAAAACAATTCTCGCCATCATCCCAAAAATCCCAAGTCCTTCAAGCTTCAAGGACTTTCGACCTATCAGCCTTTGTACGGTATTATACAAGTTGGTCACTAAGATCATTATCAAACGCCTCCAGCAAATTATGCCTCGACTTGTTGCGCCTAACCAAACAAGTTTCATTCAAGGCTGTAGCATCTCGGAGATCATTATTATTAATCAGGAGGTCATTCACTCCATGAAATCAAAAAAGGACAAGGATGGTTGGATGGAGATAAAGGTGGATCTGGAAAAAGCTTTTGATCGTCTGCGCTGGGACTTTATAGCAGACACTCTTTATGAAGCAGGCTTTCCACCAGCAATTACACGACTCATCTTGCATTGTATTTCATCTTCTTCTATGCAGGTTCAATTTAATGGAGGCCTTAGCAATGATTTTAAACCATAATGTGGAGTTCGGCAAGGAGATCCAATCTCTCCTTACCTTTTTGTTCTTACCATGGAAAGGCTTGGACATCGTATCCACCTTGCTTTTGAGAAGGGCGATTGGAAACCTTTTAAGCTAATTCGTGATGGTCTTCCCATCACTCATTTATTTTTTGCAGATGACTTAGTTTTGTATGCCAAAGCAACTGTAGCACAAGTAATTCTAATCGATAATATCCTGGAGGAATTTAGTCACTACTCGGGCCACAAAGTCAACAAGCTTAAATCTCATGTGTACTTCTCGCCCAATACAAGCTCAGAAACAGCAAATGCAGTCTGTTCTCATCTCGGCATTAAGCAAGTTCCTAACTTGGGTGTCTATCTCGGAATGTCGGTGATGCACAAGCGTTCTACCTGTGAATTCTATAGCTTCATCATTGACAAAATAAAATCAAAGCTTCATGGGTGATCGGCTAGAACCCTATCTTTTACGGGACGAATCACTCTTGCTAACTCAGTGTTCATGGCTATCCCTACTTATTTCAAGCAAACTTGTCGCTTCCCCTCTCGTGTCTGTCAAGACATTGAAAAGCTTGTTCGGTAATTTATATGGAGCTCTAGTAATCAAACTCGAGGTATTTCTCTCGTTAGTTGGGACACCTTAACTCAACCTAGACACAATGGAGGCCTCGACGTTTGGAGATTACAACAACATAATGATACCTTCTACATGAAACTTTGTTATGCCATCGTTTCAGATACGGAGAATTATTGTATAAGGCTTCTTAGGCAAAAATATAAGGTTCTCTCTAATTGTCCCTCCTCCATATTCCTACCGAGCTGCTCTCATTTGTGGAGGTCCTTATCTAAAGTCTGGAATAGGTTCTACAGCTTCTTATCTTGGTCTATAGGCGATGGAACTACAACAAGAATTTGGCACGACAATTGGCTACCGAAACTTGGGTGTCTTTCAGAATGGAAACAAGAGCATATTATTGTTAAAGATAATATGCTGGTTTGTGATGCTGCCTAACTGAATGGCAACTGGAACTGGAATCTGCTTCGACAGTTTCTCCAACCCTCCATGATACAACATCTGATGAATATTCAACTACCTAATCTGAATGCTAGTACTGATCGTTGTTGCTGGTCACAGGGCAAACATGGTGTGTTCACAGTAAAATCAACCTATAAGCTTCTAACCAAGGATCTTTGGGACCCTAAAGATATCAAATGGACTACACTTTGGCGCATGACTATCCCGGAGCGCATAAAATATTTCCTATAGCTTTCTTATAAAGACCGCTTACTTACAAACGTTCATCGTTGTGCAAGGAAGCTTACAAATGATCCTTTATGTCATATATGTGGCTTAGCTAATGAAAATACACTGCATGTTCTACGTGACTGCAAACACTCTGCAACTCTTTGGTAACTGATTATCCGACAGCAAATCCTACCGAACTTCTTCAACACTAACGTCTCTGATTGAATCACAATGAACCTAGACTCAAATAGTCTCTTTGCTGGCACAAACATCCCATGGAAAATCCTTTTCTCTTCTATAGCATGGTAGATCTAGAAGCGAATGAATTCTTATATATTTTCAGACTTGTTCATCCATAATGACCAGCTCATCTCCCTAAGCAAAAATTGGCCCCTTTATATCATTGCAGCAAAGTCTATTTCCCCAACTGGTTTTGGTGCTGCTCGTCCAGAACTTATACAATGGAAGCCCGCGCCTACAAATTGGTACACTCTTAACATAGATGGAGCGGTACATAAAATTTCCTCCCAAGGATGGTGGGTGGCCTCATTCGAAATATGAATGGTGATTGGATCATTGGTTTTAATAAATCGATTGGAATCTCAACTCCAATCCAAGCCGAACTTTGGGGGATTTTTGAAGGACTTCAATTGGCACTATCCCACAATATTGAACGTCTCCAATGCCAAACAGACACTGTTGAAGCTCTTAATCTCGTGTCTTCGCCAATGGCTAAATGCAGCCCAATTGCTCTTGTTCGCCCTATTGCAAAACTCATATCAAAACAATGGATGATCGAATTCATTCTTATTCGCCGTGAAGCTAATGCTGCAGCAGACTTCCTTGCGAAATCTACCGTTATTTCAAATGAACAAGCTCAGACCTATACTGAACCGCCCCATGAGATTAAATCACTTCTTCATCGTGACCTCTATGGTCCTGCTTTCCTTCGCACTTAGTATTTCATTATAATAGTCTTCCTTATAATTCAAAAAAAAAATGCCTCTTGGTCAGGGGTTATTCTCAGGAACTCAAATGAGTAAATAACGGGAGCTGGAAGGTTGCGTTGTAACAATATTATCTCTGCTTTTGTATCGGAGGCTGTGTTGGTTGCCCATGCTATTCAGCTATTAGTGAATCTAGGATTCTGATATGTTGTATAAGGTGATTCTCGCGTAGTGGTTCACAAACTCTTCTCTCTTGAAACTGATTTATCAGAAATTGGTGCATGGACAAGTGAATGAAAGGGTCGTTCAGTATCTCTCCAAACCTGAGTTTCAATTCGTCCCAAGAACATGCAATTTTGTTGGCTACTGATTCTTTGCATGTAAATGATTATTGGTTATGGGTAGAGGAGGCTCACCGCCCTATGGTTCTTCAGGCAACAGAGGACATACAATGGTTAGATCCCCCTAACTACAGATTTCTTCTGAATATCGTTGGTGACAAGGCTCGATTTGATTTGTTTGTGCTTTCCTTGTGGTTCGTTTTCTTCATTTTTTCTCTCGCAAGGAAAGGAAAGGTCAGCGATTTAGGCTCTCTTTCAAGAGCATTTTTAATTCCACTTTTTTATTTTTATGCTTTTGATTTTTTTTAATTTTTTTTTCAATTCCTTTTGCTTTTGTTTCTTAATTGTTGGGCATGTCACAGTTGGCATCCATTTACATTAATAGAATATAGTCGATGTTTCATCTAAAAAAAAGTTTAAAAGTAATTTAATTGTTATAAGAATAATTTATTTAATATATAATAATCATTAAAAAAATAATAATTACATATTAAACATAATATTAACCACATATATTTTTTATATAAAGGAATACTTATTTTAATTTAGGGTAAATTATATCATTGACCACCTAATTATTTAGTCATTTTACTTTTACTCTTTTAATTTGTCAATCAAATCATCTAATTATTTAATTATTGTCAATCAAGTAATTTGCCGTTAAAAATTGACGGAAATGTTCACGTAGCAGTTATCAAAATTGACATAATTCTATATTTAGTTCTCAATATTTCTATATTCTATTAATTTGATCTTAATTTTAATTTAATTTAATAAATTTTTTCTCTAATTAGATTATAACGTGTGACAATATGAGTGCAGTAATAGAAGAGGAAAGCGCACAAGATGAAGGGGTTTAGGTCTTGATCTTGTGTCTTTTGGATTGAAAATCCACGCCCAAGCCACTAATCAGACCACATTTTCCTTATTGTTTGATGCAACATTTAATATATAACAAATGTAACAAATGGCAGAAAAAAAGAAGTAATAATTGTAACATTTTATTTATAATTATATATATATATATCAATTTGTTTTTATTAAAAACATATGAAATTATTTAATAAATTTATATAATTTATATATATAATCATTAAATTTTTGTTAACTTAAATTTACTGTTGTTAAAATGTTTAGAATAAATTTTCTAAAAAAATAAAATCCTCCCTATAAATAAAAGTAAATTAAAATCCACCATGAAGGTCCATAAATTCTTCCACACCTACCTATAAAAAAAAATTAAATTTTATTCCGTTTTTAATAAATATTTAAAAAATAACATATGAAATATATAATCCTAAAAGACCCATCACACCCTTGC